GTGTGTGTGTGTGTGTGTGTGTGTGTGTGTGTGTGTGTGTGTGTGTGTGTGTGTGTGTGTGTGTGTGTGTGTGTGTGTGTGTGTGTGTGTGTGTGTGTGTGTGTGTGTGTGTGTGTGTGTGTGTGTGTGTGTGTGTGTGTGTGTGTGTGTGTGTGTGTGTGTGTGTGTGTGTGTGTGTGTGTGTGTGTGTGTGTGTGTGTGTGTGTGTGTGTGTGTGTGTGTGTGTGTGTGTGTGTGTGTGTGTGTGTGTGTGTGTGTGTGTGTGTGTGTGTGTGTGTGTGTGTGTGTGTGTGTGTGTGTGTGTGTGTGTGTGTGTGTGTGTGTGTGTGTGTGTGTGTGTGTGTGTGTGTGTGTGTGTGTGGGTGAGTGCGTGCGTGCGTGCGTGCGTGCGTGTGTGTGTGTGTGTGTGTGTGTGTGTGTGTGTGTGTGTGTGTGTGTGTGTGTGTGTGTGTATCCACCATAACTCATGAACCGATACAAAAAAAACACCAAATTTTAAAATCAAGTTTTATTCTGGCATTCTTCAAATAAAAGTTACTTACAATATTATTATAAACATTTTTTGTGTTTTACAAAATTTTCCTAAAATGGTCCGTATTCGAGAAATTTGACAAAATGTAAAACAAATATTTTTTTACAAAAATTGTTCGAATAAAAGTTGTTTGTAATATATTTCTTTATTTTATAAATAATTTCTCTAAAATGGACAGTATTCGAGATATTTGAGAATATGTGTAAATTTAGAATTTTGAAGTAAACTCAAAAACGGATAAAGGAAAAAACATTAAATTTTAAACCAAAGTTTTATTTCAGCCCAACGTGAAATGATTAGATTTTGGACAAAGTCAGAACATCTGGGGGAGTACTTTACGGAAGGCCGTTTTTATATTTTATGGGATATATCTGTTATTTATGTTTGAAAAAGAAAATTAATCATACAAAAGTTACTTCTAATATTATTCCCTATAATTTTTGTTATATATAAAATTTTTCTAAAATGATCCGAATTCGAGAAATTTTTCAAAATGTAAAAAATTCTGATTATTAAAAAAGACGTTTGAAATATCGATCTCTATAATTTTTGTTTTTTACATGATTTCTCTAAAATGGACCGTAATGACAAAATTGGAGGAACAGTATAAAATTTAAATTTTTCAGTATTTTCGTTGGCAATGAGTGTATATAGAAAAATGTTTCGAGTTAGATGTATGTGGAAAATGTATATATTAAGTTAACCTCTAAATATTTGCAGAGGTGCTACAATAGGTTGTACAAAATAACCGAAAAAAGCCTGTAAATACTAGATAGGAAAATCATGTGTTGGACACATCAGATTTTTTTGATTTTACAAACTGCCATATTTGCTTAGGATCCGTTGAAATAGAAGTCTTAATACGATTCACATAATTATAGTAATCTAGATCAATTAAATATTTAGTTCTTCCCCTTAGCAGCTTAAAAGTTAAATAGTTAATTTTATTTTTATATTTTTCCACTTAGGTATATTTTTTATAGATATTTTTCTTTTTCTTGATAGTGGAGAAATAGTACTCTGAGAAAATGTATGTTTAGAACGAACAGAATATTCTTGGAAATAATGTTTTCAAGTAAATGATAAAATCTATTGACACTGTTTTTAGTATCTAATTTGCCAAACTCCTTTTTCCAATCAATTAAATCAATATCTATTTTAATATAATTTAAATAAGCTTTTTTAAACTCCAGAGTTGTATGGCTTTTATCTTCAACAAGAATTGGATTTGTACATATTTTTATATTTTGAATTTAAAAACTGTTATTCAAAATAAGGTCAAGTGTATTATTATGGATTTTACGAAAAGTACTAAATTGTGACAAATTACAACAAAATATAGTATCATTTTCATTTTCAGAAAAGTTAAGGGGTACGTAATTTTTGTTAATGGGGTCGAAAGATCAGTTAATATTGGATAAGTTAAAGTCGCTACATATAACAAAAGCATCACCAGGGTTAGTGTTTTTGTAAAAGCCTTATTTTACGTTTGTATTTATTGTTTCATAAAAAAATTGAAGTAGAGATCGAAAAGTTCACAATAAAATTATACTGTAATTGCTACAAACCAAAAGTGCAATATATACTCGTACAAACTTTAAGGAACTGTGAGGTCCTTTTAATGTAAATAAAAATGAAATACAAATTCAGGAGATAAAACATATTTTATAATAATTTGTTTAATTAAAAAGCTTGATATAAATAAAAAACTCACCATTTGAAGCCATTCGTTCCTCCTAAAATAACATAATAAAAACATTCAGTAAAAGTAAAAATAAATCATAAATTCAGAAAAAGATTAGGGTACGAATATGAGAGAATAATGTTTGTAGCCCCATATTGTTACCGTTGAAAATGATAGAACAGACGTATCTAAAGTGGAATCCAGCTCATCTTTAATTTTATTGGGGCTTAAACCATTAACGTAAAAATATTTTCTTACAACTAGAACTCGAATTTTCCCAATTATTAAAAAAAAGAGCTTGATTAGTATAGCGGGCGGTCAAATACAAACTTTGGACACAAATTTGCAAAAAAAATGACATAATATGTCAATAAATAAGACAATAAACCAATTGATGAATTCGCGTTCAAAACCAGATTTATCCACTGTTTTCACAAAATCGTATTCTGACGGTTTCCCAATGATCTTTGTGAGATCTATCGACTCCCATGCTCATTTTGGATCAAATGGCAATAAAAACCATTTAAATCAGTAGCTATAGTTAGGGTTTTGTATCAAATCCAGTTATATCCAAATTTTGCGATCAAAAGTAGATATATCCACAAAAGCACGTTTAAACGAATATTATCGGCGTTTTAGTTTGTTGGCGGTAGTCGCAGTAATAACAACTATTGTGAGTGTACATAAGAATTTTCAAAGAAAACAAGCTAAAAAAGGGTGAACAAACATGAAAGTAGAAGACAATAGTGTGAGTAAAGGAAATGATGGAAGTAGGAAAATAAAAAAGCAGGAAACACAGCGAAATCGTCGTAAGAGACAAGAGTGAGGTTAAATTTTCTACTTTTATATAATTTATCTCATTTTTACGTATTGTATCCTGATCCTGGGCTAGAAAATTTTGGTCGACCTTGTAATCATAATAGATAAACCTATGAATGTTGTAAGGTGGACACGCAAAACATATTAATTCTAAGAAACCAGTTTCATAATCATTCAAATAAAGTTCTCCAAGATCCACTTCTATGTCGTTAGTTATATGAACTCTATATGCAAGCTTGCAAGCCGGTCTTCGACCTGTTTCGCCAGCACAAGCTAACTTAAAAATATATGTTAAATTGTAAAATTGTCATTCCTTATTTTTTATCAGAGTAAAACGTTTAAGTAAAATAATTTTTTTTTAAAAAAGTTATTTTTCCATTCCTTAAATTTATCTCATTACATGTGTGTTATGACAACTTTACGACACAGGGAAAGTAAATAAATCCAGGCAAGAAAAGCAACATGTCAAAGTCTGGCAAAACTGGGGTTTGAATTTGTAAAGGATTGTTTGCTGCTATTTTTTGTATACCATACAATCGCCTCACAATAGTTGCAATGGTTTTGGAGACGGGTAGCATTCCTAGTGAAAAGAAGGGAGGAGATAGATAGATCCAGAAAAGCGCAACTATAAAGGAAAAAGTACTAGAGTTCATCAATAAATTGCGTGGCAAAGAAGCAAATACAACATAAAAAAATCTAAACATATATATCTTTCAGCAAATCTTTCAGTGAAAAAATTTCATAGAATGTATATCGAAAAATGTGCAGCCAACGACCGAGTCTCTTATGATATGTTTAGAAATGTCTTCATACATTATTTTAATATTGGTTTCTCGTCCCCTGCCTCCGATGTGTGCTCCAAGTGTACGAGGTTGAAAGAGCAGTTAAAACAAAGCAATGACCCAGAAAAGAAAAACAATATTATACTGAAATAGCCAGTACTTTTTATGAACTTTGCTGTGAAAATCCAGACAACAGTATTGCTTTTTGTTTTGATTATCAACATGTTCAGCCTCTTCTCCGTACAACTATTGGAAATGCCTTTTATGCCCACCAAATTAGCCTGTATTCCTTTTGATGCGTGTTCATGACTTCAAGTGAACCAACATTTTATATTTGGATGGAAGACTTAGCTAGAAGAGGAGCTTTTCAAATTGGCTCAGCATTGTTGCATCATCTTGGAACTCTAATTTTGTGAAAATATAAACCTTATCAGATTATTTTGCAATGTATGTGAAGGCCAAAATAAAAATCGCCTATTATTCACTCTTTAATTTACTGACTAAAACACAAGTCCCCAGAAAATGTACAGGAAATAATGAAAACATGTCTAGCAGGGCCGACTAGAGGGGGGCAGCCGGGACGAATTCCCGGGGCCCGGACTCAAATGGGGGCCCGGCAGCGGTATAAGGGGGGCCCGGCAACCGGAATTTTGTTGTTTTCAATTAAAAGTTTGGCACAAGACGAGAGGGGGAAGTTTTTGGTTGGGGACCTTTTTTTTGTTTTAGAAAATTCAATTCAATTTGGTTAGAGGAGGAAAAGTTATTTGCTTGGGGAGCTGTTTTTTTTTTTAGAAAATTCAATTCAAGTTGAAAAAGAAAAGTTTTTGTTTGAAGAGCTTTTTTTGTCACGTCACCTAGAAAATTGTCCTGGGGCCCGGCCTGGCTCTCGGCGGCCCTGATAGTTCAAGGACGTAGTTTTCTTCCTGCCGATCGAGATTTTGGACGGGTGGAAAAGATTTAAAGAACAAATCCCGTCATAATATCCAAAGAAAAATACAATGAAATTTACTCAGGAGTAGGTTCAGTAAAAACTCTTGGCACTGATTGGCAGATTTTTAATGTAAAAAAACTAGAAAAAGTTTTTAAAAAAATTAAAGGATTGTAAAAAATACATATTAAAAAGTTTATTGATAACAAGAAACAAATTACTATTAAAGTGATGACGCACTAATATTACAATTAGGTTTCGCCAGCCATTACCTGGAAATCCCTTCTTAAAAAAAAAAAAATGTGAAAATGACATAGACCTAAGCAGACAACCATTGGACAGTTCGATACCGGATAAAAAGAAAGATACCTTAAGGCATCTCATAAAAGAACATTTTGACGAAGAATGGGAAAGTAGGGAAGACCTCTTCTGGTACAAAAACTTATTGGAAGGCCCAGACGCAATCACCATAAAGGAAGATGAAACTGGAGAAGTTGTGAACGAAATGTGTGACTGTTTACATGAAGAATCCGCCATATACTTCTAATAGAAAGTAAAAATTGTGTTAGTTTTGGGAAATAAATATTTTTCTTTTTATTTTGAGAAAGTAAAAGTTATTTTTAGTGATTTTTAATTTTGCCTGTAACTTTTTCAATAAACAAGTAATATTTTTAAAATAAAATTGTTTAATTTGTGTTATATCCATATTTTTCGGCTTATTTCTCAAAATTATTTTATCTTTAAATAAAATTCCCTTCACAGAATCTTACTTTTTTTTAAGTACAAAATATGAAGCGTTTTTTTTTTTTCATTTCATGAAAATTTTATAAAAATGGATATAACTGGTTTTGAACGCGAACTCCTCAATTATATGGCACTCTTGGTGAGACTTGAAATTATTCATCGGATTCTCATTTGTTGTGGTAATTTGTTTACAGGAGAAGATAAATTTAAATTAAAACTCACCATTTAAAATCGTTTATTCCACCTTCACTCTCCTATCCCATTTATTGGTCCACTATTTTTTTCCAATTTTCATAATATCCATTATTTCCAGTAGAATATACCGAAATTAACGCGTCCGGACAAATCTTCTATACCGAACGACAATAATGATCATCATATCATGCTCAATTCTATATCAACCCTTTGATACGTAGATATATCTCCGGGTAGTATGTATAATATAAATCAAAGATTTATATTAAACATCAAAGGACATAAATTCTAAGAACAAACGTCTTTATTGTCAGAAGTGAAATGAACATGAGCTCAGAACATTAACATCATGCTACCGATTAACTTTCGAATATTGTGCGACGATTTAAATTTGTTGTTAGGCATGTTCGCTGAAAATAAAAAAATAATTAATAGGATATTTTGAAAATGTCCAAGAAGAAAGATATTTAAATAAGTGATTTAAAAAACTAAGCACTCTTTTTGCAATTATTGCTCTCTGAATAAATTTACAAAAAATAATGCTGCCAATTTTGATTAAAATACTAAAAAGAGTATTTGAGTATGAGTTAAAGCAATATATAAATAAGCAGCCAGGGGTTTAGAGCAGTTTATAATTGCAGTACTGCTCTATTAAATATTAAAAATTATTTTTTAAACAAATTAGATATGCAGAAAAGTGTAGTTTTAATTTTATTTGATTATTCATTACGGTAAGAGAATAAAATAATTATGATTGCAAAACAACAGTACAAAAGGTTCTAAATCACTTCTATGAATTACCGTTGTTTATTATTTGATGATTTTATTGTAAATGTAAGTATATTTTTCTTTTTTTTTTTTAATAAACATAATTATTATTGATTATAGTAAAGCGTTTGATCAGCTGAATCATAAATTAGTATTTGACTATGCAAGTACTCAAAGTACTTAAATAAAATGTTAAAAAAATATTTTATTAATAAAGGAGTACCGCAGGGATCACTCCTAGGCTCGATGCTCTATGTGTTGGTAATATTCTTTGTAGCCTGAATCACATAAAAATTCATGATATTTATTATTATTTTTTATAGGAGGTTTGATTATTGCGAAATAATTTATAAATAGTGATCTTGATACTCTTATTAAAGTGTAGAATCATGATTTGGTTTTTAATGTAACAATGTGCCACTCTTTGGCAACATTGCTGCTAGAGATGTGATGAGTAAAATGAGTAATAATAATGCTTATTGCTATATTATAAAAGGAATACGCTAATATTGAATTCTGACAAATAAAATTAATTATTCTTAATTTTTAAATATGTCAAATTTGGAAATTATAACCCATAGACAGAAATCGGCAATGTCATTTTTACTTTCTTGTCTATATAAAGATAATGAAAGTATAAGAATCATGATTTTTTTGACGTCGATAACTCATGAATGGATACAGGTCGATTTTAGTTTAGAGAGGGTCAATTTTTTTTGAATTATACTACCATGATTTCTAACTCTCAAACCGTGAGGGTAACAACCCTTATAATTTAAGTAGGAAGAGTACCAAGGATAACTCATAATTGAAAATGTAATTTGATAATTAATTAAATAACTAAATTAAAAAAGTTAGAGAAAAAAAAACTAAAACATGAAACTTATAAAGATAATGAGTTTACATATAAATAAACTAAAGCATGGAAAATAAATGAAACTCTAGAGAGAACGAAAAAAAAAAAATCAAAACATTTTAAATATATAACAAACAGTACTTAGCACCCAAAGTTTTTATAGTTTCACATAACACTATAATTATAAATATATTATTCAGAATTATATATAAAAATAAATATGAAGAAATGCGTTTTGAAAAACTCTGTGCACTTTTCTAGTCATAAAAATCCTAATAATCTATTAATTGATACATTTTAATAACAATAATTTCTCCAGTACTTTCCAGAAAAAAATTACATATGGCAACAATGTCACTAAAAACTTAAAGTAAAATTTGTTGTCGAATTACGAAAAATTGACTATCGAAATCATAATATTTGTTTGGCCTAGGACCTAGGATAACGGAATATTATTTGATGTTTGTGTATGAATATTGTTTATTAACAAGTCTTAAAAATAACATTAGGCTCTATATATTTTGATATTTTTTGTATAAATTTTAGTTATTTAGTATTCGAGTTCAGAAAAGTTTTATTATTGCAAACTACCGAATTATTAAATATTTTAAAAATATAACAAGAATTAAGTAAAATTTTACGTTAATAATTATTAAAAACCATATTGGCCTACATTAATATATACTATTTATCTTATATACAGGGTACACCAATGATAACTTGAGCGCCTAGAAATTCAAAAATAGGTTTTTAAAATATAAAAGATACGAAAACTGTTATTAGCAAGGAAACGAATTGAAGGGTCGCGGCGAATAACGATCAGAGTCCATTTTTGCCAAAAATAAGGGAATGGCGCCATCATGAAGCTAGTACCAAATTTAAATCAACTATTATTCACTTCGGGGAAGATAGTTCATAGACTTCAAAAATATAACATTCAAAGATACAACGTGTCGCCTAAAAACGATCATGGTCCAAGCGCTAACGGGAATAAAAGATCAGATTCCATCTTTATCAACCTCCTTATTTATGTATCAGCTTGTCTGCCACCTAGATTTTGTTTGTTTATACTAATACAAGGCGCTTGTCATAGAGGAATAAAATAATAAAATTTGTTATTAAAACGTCAATGACGAGTGATTTAAATAGTGATTTGGATGGCGAAGAAGCTTATGTGGTGCACAGCAATGTCAAGAAAAGAAAAAGAACAGGAAAAATGACAGATGTTATGAAGAAATTACGTGCAGGTAGTCATGAAAGTGGAGAATACTGCAAGTGTAGCCGTTTAAAGTGTTTTATAACTATTTGTTCTGAGGAGCGGCAACGCATAATTTTCTTTTTTAATCAGTTGGGAGATTACAATGCACAAAGTAAATACCTCAGTGGACTATCAGTATTGTACCTGTTAAGCGCCGACGTAATACAATGCACAAAGTAAATACCTCAGTGGACTATCAGTATTGTACCTGTTAAGCGCCGACGTAATCGAAAAGACGAAGCTGATGCTAATTTCCACACTTCCTCTTATTCCTGCAGAGTTCGAGCACGTGTTGAAAATAAGCTACAAGATGTGAGTGTTTGTTATAAAGCTTTTTTGTCTTTGCACGGTATTTCGAATCGTCGTGTGCAAAATTTGAAGAAAAATCTATGTGCGCTGGGTGACGCCAAACCGGATGGTCGAGGACAGCACAAAAACAGACCCCATCGCATAAGTGATGTAACCAAACTGAAAGTTATGGATTTCATAAAATCACTTAAGGGTAGAAAATCACATTACTCCATAAGAGATACTTCTAAACTATATTTGTCGGAAGAGCTGAATATAAGTAAACTGCAACGAATTTATAATGACTTCAATAAGGAACACCAAATAGACTATACCACTTTTCGTGAAATTTTTGAGAACAATTTCAATATATCCTTTGGTTTCCCCAGAAAAGATACGTGTAGCATTTGTGATATTTTGAAAAGTGAAGTTGCCATTTTGGAAGAGAAAATAGCCCAATGTGTGGTTGAAGTAACAAAAAAAGCAATGAAGAAAACTCTTGAGCAAAAGAATGGTGAAAAGCAATTACACTTGGCAAGAAGTGACAAATTTTATTCTTTGAAAAGGAAGTACAGAAAACAATCACAGAAAGAGGCAAAAATTGAAGCAATCGCTATGGACTTACAACCACCAAGGTAGAAGAGTTTCATTCCTGTCGTGAGATTAATTAGATCACCGAGACGCGAAGCGTCGAGATTAGCTATAATCTCGAGACAGGAATGAAACTTCCTACCGAGGTTTGTATACTATTTTATTTAAAACCATCATATTTCGATCAAAGTTAATAAATCTCTGTTTTGTTCTGAACATACCTAAAATATTACATTTAACGACAAATTACCAAGCGCGCGGTTTTCTCAGAATACTCAAGTAGATAAATATATTGTTACTGTGATTACGGGGTAATCAACTGTCACCAATATAAATAAATGTCAGATAAAGCCGGATATTAAATTCGCGAATAATAAATATCAATAAGTAATTTGTTATATTTTAGTTCATTGTTGATTTTTATTGTTTGCCATTAAATAGGTATTATAAAATTTGTCAAAAAAAATGTGTTATTTTTTTTTTAAATAGAAAAAATATTCATCCAGAATAGGTAAAATGAGGGCGGGAAGTGAGAGCGGGAAGTGAGGGCGGGAAGTAGAGGTGTGTAATGTGACACTTCCCAACCTTTAATAACGTTAGTAAACTCTACACATTACAACATCAGATGTTTATTACCGGCGTCAATTAAGTTTTATATCATTTAACATTTATGTTTTATCTGATTTAGCATCTGTATTTTACACGTATGACGAGAGTGTCGCACGAAAGGGTGTAGATGACGTTTGTTCAATGCTACACCATTTCTTCTCAAATTTACTAGATCCTCAAGTGCGTGATTTGATAATTTTTTGTGACTCTTGCGCTGGACAAAATAAGAACTATACAG